TCCAGAACCACAGGAAGGCTGGCGAGTGGAAATTCTACAACTAGAAGGAAAGAGAAAAGCACACTGAGACTCAGAGGAGGTGTGGAAGTAAAGTGCAGAGGTATGGAGGCGCAGATGGAAAGGGCTGGCAACTGAGGACGCGGTTGTCTTTTTCAATCCAGAGGGAGTCTCAAGCTCTGAACTCCAGTTCCAGGTGAGTCTCTGGGGACCCAGACTCATACGGGGAGAAACTGGACTGTCTGGCATTGGGCAGAACTCGAGGGCGGCTTTCTCTCAGAGGTGCTTGCGGCGATTGTCGGGACACTGAGATGCAGGGCCTCTCAGGGTAGGACTGAGGATCAGCCATAGCTGTTTGCTCCGCCCTGCTGATTCCCTGAGACTCCGCCCCACCCAAGTTGTGCGCAGAGGCTTTTGCATATGAAAGGCCTGGCCCTTTGCAATCTGAAAATTACCTAACAAACTGCAGCTGGGTCAGAGAGACCCAGAACTTCCAAAAGAAGGCCCAAGGCCCCACAGCAGCTTGGATTGCTTCACAGCTGGGCCTCATCTGGGCACCTCCAAACCCCAAACAAAGAAGAGGAATCTGCAGATCTCTCAGTAGCTCCTGCTGGGTAGCCTCAGGCAGAGGCTAAATTAACACCTCCTTAGATCCAAGAGCCAGTGTACCCAGTGGTCAGAGTGGGACCATCCAGATTACAACTCCTCAGATCCATAAGGGACACACTCAGGGGGCAGACTCAGTGAGCAACCAAAGCCCCACTGAAGCAAGTCTTGCCCCAGAAGGGTGTCTCCAGCACAGAAGTTCTCCCACTGCAAACACAGCTGATTCTCACAGCCAATTGGCCTGGAGGTCAATTCCTCCCAGTAATACCTACAACAGTCAAGGCTTAACTACAAGACTGTGCACACAGCCCACAAAGGGGAGCACCCAGAGTGCCCACCTCAGGTAATTGGGGAGGATGAGCCACTGGGCCCTATAGGACACCTAGCACAGAAAGCCACTCTATCAACACAGGGAAGCATAAAAAATGCAGAGACAAAGAAATAGGTCACAAATGACAGAAATGGAGGAAAGCAAACTACTGGATATAGAGTTCAAAACCACACTTATAAGGTTTTTCAAGAATTTTCTAGAAACCGCCGATAAATTTAGTAAGACCCTCAATAAGTCTAGTGAGACTGACGATAAATTTAGTGAGACCCTCGAGGATATGAAAAAGGACCAACTAGAAATTAAGCATACACTGACTGAAATAAAGAATATTATACAGAGTTCCAACAGCAGACTAGAGGATCGCAAGAATCAAGTCAAAGATTTGAAATACAAAGAAGCAAAAAACACCCAACCGGAAAAACAAAAAGAAAAAAGAGTCCAAAAATATGAAGATAGTGTAAGGAGCCTCTGAGACAACTTCAAGCATACCAACATCCGAATTATGGGGGTGCCAGAAGAAGAGAGAGAGAGCAAGATATTGAAAACCTATTTGAAGAAATAATGACAGAAAACTTCCCCTACCTGATGAAAGAAATAGACTTCCAAGTCCAGGAAGCGCACAGAACCCCAAACAAAAGGAATCCAAAGAGGACCACACCAAGACACATCATAATCAAAATGCCAAGGGCAAAAGACAAAGAGAGAATCTTAAAAGCAGCAAGAGAAAGACGGTCAGTTACCTACAAGGGAATACCCATACGACTGTCAGCTGATTTCTGAACAGAAACCATGCAGGCCAGAAGGGAGTGGCAAGAAATATTCAAAGTGATGAATACCAAGAACCTACAACCAAGATTACTTTACCCAGCAAAGCTATCATTCAGAATTGAAGGTCAGATAAAGAGCTTCACAGATAAGAAAAAGCTAAAGGAGTTCATCACCACCAAACTAGTATTATATGAAATGCTGAAAGTTATCCTTTAAGAAGAGGAAGAAGAAGAAAAAGGTAAAGATACAAATTATGAACAACAAATACACATCTATCAACAAGTGAATCTAAAAATCAAGTAAATAAATAATCTGATGAACAGAATAAACTGGTGAATATAATAGAATCAGGGGCATAGAAAGGGAGTGGACTGACTATTCTTATGGGGGAAAGGGGTGTGGGGGGTGCGGGAAGAGACTGGACAAAAATCATACACCTATGGATGAGGACATTGGGGGGGTAAGGGCAGAGGGTGGGGTGGAAACCGGGTGAAGGGGAGCTATGGGGGGAAAAAAGAGGAACAACTGTAATAATCTGAACAATAAAGATTTAATTAAAAAAATAATCAGAAATAATAATAAACTTACAATTGATAGCATTTGACCCTTTTCTTGTTGAAACTGCTCATTTGGTATCTAGAACACCACACACTTGGTTTTCCTATCTCACTCTTCACTTCTTGGTTTCCATTGCCGAGTCCTTTCTTCTTTCCATCTTAATGTTGGAGTGCCCTAGCCCAGTGGTCGGCAAACCGCAGCTCGTGAGCCACATGCGGCTCTTTGGCCCCTTGAGTGTGGCTCTTCCACAAAATACCACGTGCGGGCGCGCATGTACAGTGCGATTAAAACTTCGTGGCCCATGCGCAGAAGTCAGTTTTCGGCCTGGGCGAGTCTATTTTGAAGAAGTGGGGGGTGTCGGCCGGTCGGGCGACAGGAGACACGGCCCAGGGGGGCCGCGGGATACGCAGCACAGGGAGGCGCGCGATTCGTGCAGGAGTTGAGTGAGCCAGTCAGTCAGCAGTCTCATTGTGCAGTGGTTAGTGCTAGTCGCGTCCGCAAATCGCACGCAGGTGACAAAAATACCTACTCGAAGCATAAAGTTACCTGTATTTTTCCAACCAGCTGCAAATCCTACAGGTATTTTTGTCATCAATTTAAGAATTATAATTCTTTTGTGTTGGTGGAAGACGAAAACCGTGAATTTAAAGTTGAATTTAAAGTTGAATGTACCTACCTATATAGTTTAAAAAATTTGGCTCTCAAAAGAAATTTCAATCGTTGTACTGTTGATATTTGGCTCTGTTGACTAATGAGTTTGCCGACCACTGCCCTAGCCTTACCCTTGGGCCTCTTTGCTACCTGCTTTTCTTAGATTACATCATTCAGTACTTATGGCTTTAAATACTACCTATTAATATATATATGCTGGTGACTATCAATGTTGTATCTGTATTCCTTATTCCTCCCTAAACTCTAAAATTTTCAATATCCCAGTCCTCAAACTCACTGCCTTTCATCTTAGTAAATGGTACCAACATTTACCCAGTGGCTCAGGATAGAAATGTAAATTATTCCTTATGCTTTACTTTCCTAGCTTTCATCTAATCCATCAGCAAGTTCTGTTGGCTGTACAAATTATATCCAGATCCTACCACTTTTTACCACCTCCACTGTTAACTGCTGGTTCAACTTCAGTAGCCTCCTAACTGACATCTATTCCTAGCACCCTCATCCCCACCCCCCTTTATGGCTTCTATTCTTCATTTAATAGGCAGAATAATCTTTTTAAAGCCTTAACAGACCTTCACAAAATCCTTCAATGAGGAAGTGCTGATTCCAGGTCTGGGGTAGGAAATGTACAAGATGAATCTTTGAGGATGAGATACTAATAGATACAGAATAAGAGAAATGGTGAGGAAAAAATGAGGCCCTAATCATAAAATTGAAAATGGTATGGACTGTCAAAAACAGTAAGGAAAGGTCTCTGAGAGATGTTTCTCAAGATTACATTAGGCTTTTTGAATTTAATGGCAAAAATAACAAATTATATATACTATAAATCAAATAATAAGGCAGATTTCTTTTTTTTTTTAATCCTCACCTGAGGTTATTCTTTCCATTGATTTTTAGAGAGAGTGGAAGAGAGGAGGAGTAACAGAGAGAGAGAAACATCATTGTGAGAGAGAGACATCGATTGGTTGCCTCCTGCATGTGCCCTGACCGAGGGGATCAAGCCTGTAACCGAGGCATGTGCCCTAGACCAGGAATCAAACCCAGGACCCTTCAGTTTGAGAGCTGATGCTCTTTCCACTGAACCATGCCAGCGAGGGCGGCAGATTTCTTTTTGATAATTGTGTGTACACACACACACACACACACACACACAGTTTAAGAATTTTTCAAACCCACAAAAAAGAAACGTAAAAAGCATAATGAATTTCTGTATGCCCCTTAACCTATACACACCAGCTATTAACACTGGCCACTTATTTAATTTGAACCATATAGAAATGCTCCTTTTGACCAAAAATAACACACAAAATAGATCATGTATCTGGGGTCCTCAAACTACGGCCCTCGGGCCACATGCAAATACAAATATTGTATTTGTTCCTGTTTTGTTTTTTTACTTCAAAATAAGATATGTGCAGTGTGCATAGGAATTTGTCCATAGTTTTTTTAAAACTATAGTCCGGCCATCCAACCGTCTGAGGGACAGTGAACTGGCCCCCTGTTTAAAAAGTTTGAGGACCCCTGATGTAGATGGTTGCAACTGAAAACATACAGATACATACAACACATATTTCCTGTTGCTAAACCACCTGAAAGTAGGTATGCATCTTCCAAGGACAAAAACATTCTACTCACTACAAACTAGTGCCTCAACTGATAAAAATCAATATTAATTCAATTTTATCATCCACATACAGTCCTTACTCAAATTCCCCTCTTTGTATCGTCATGGTTTGTTGTTTTTTTAATATTTTTAGAGAGAGGAAGGGAGAGGGATAGAGAGATAGAACATAGATGAGAGAGAAACATTGATTGGCTGCCTCTTGCATGCCTCCCACTGGGGACCAAGCTTGCAATCCAGGCATGTGCTCTGACCGGGAATTGAACTGTGACTTCCTGGTTCATGAGTTGACCCTCAACCACTGAGCCACACTGGCCGGGCCATTAGGCTTTTTTTTAAAAAATCTACAAAACTAATTCATGAGTCTGGGTGCTTTCTCTTAAAGAATAAAATGACGTTGTTTACTATTGGCTTACTTTAGTTTTTTTCTTCTTTGTGCTTTAGCTTCTTACATCCGTGTTTGACAACAGCATCAAAACCTTTGGAGTATTTGAGAGTGACCCTTTTGACTGGGAGAAGACTGGAACTGATGGCTCCCTAACAACCACCACTACTTCTACCACCCCTCAGTTGCACACCCGCTTGACCCCTGCAGCAATCGGGTATGTCCTCAGCTGCCCATTTAGCAGTGTTTCCTGGATGCATTACACTGGCAGAAATGTTTTCACCCAGACGCCTACAGATGACCAAATGCTAGACATAGGTGAAAGCCTATGGATTTTCTTGAATTGACATTGCTCTTGTATATGCCTTTGTTCAGGTTTGCTGTTCTTAGAAAGTGTTTATAGATCATACTGTGAAATGGGAGCTAAGAGCTTGTGTGAGTTGTTGTCAGGTTTACAGTGGATTTTCGTATCTTTAAAATGAGGAGAATTTTTACATTTAAATCTAAAGAATACATGGGACCCTGGACAGAATGAGCCAAAGTATATCTAATTATACTGTGCTTAAGTTTAGTGGGAACAAAATATGTAGCTTGTTCCTCTTACGAGAGTGATTAATTTTCAAAGTGTATTAGAAACAGGTTATGGTATTTCCATCTTCTTGGTCTTTTGTGTTGTTTTCTCTCTGTGCATAAATAGTTGCTTTTGGGGAGGCAGGTTGTCTTCTTTTTCTGACCCATTTTTTATCTGCTCTGGTTGCTTTAAACTGTTTGGTTTTAAATAAAAAAGTAAATTGTAAAAAATTCTCATACAATGTGAGTTAATTGGGACATTTTATCACTAATCTATTGCTCTGATTTTATACTGAAAGATTGAATCCCTAGAGCTTATTGATCAGAAAAGCTTACATGGACTCATATAACTAAACATGTTATCCTTAATTAGCTAGTCTAAGAATTCTTAAATGTGAGACCCTGACTAGTTACATCAGAATCGCCACACGTTTGCTTAAGATATCTATTTGAAGGACTTACCCAAGAACTACTTAATCATATTTATCAGATGTTTTTCATGCTTATCTGAGTTTGGAACCCCCAGCAAGCCACCCCATTTTATAAATGGGAAATAATTGTAATATTGAGTGAATCATCTGACTTTAGGTAAGTATTAGTCACAGAGCTTGAGCTGTATAGAAATTCTGGCTTTTGTTTTAGGGCCTTTGTTCTCCTTTGCCTTTAATTTTTTTTAAAAATATATTTTATTGATTTTTCACAGAGCGGAAGGGAGAGGGATAGAGAGTTAGAAACATCAATGAGAGAGGAACATCAATCAGCTGCCTCCTGCACACCTCCTACTGGGGATGTGCCTGCAACCAAGGTACATGCCCTTGGCCGGAATAGAACCTGGGACCTTTCAGTCCGCAGGCCGACGCTCTACCCACCGAGCCAAACCAGTTAGGGATTGCCTTTAATTTTTGTTATAAGTAGATAAGCCTCCAACTTGCAAAAACCAGGTGATTGGACTTCAAGATAACTGAAGTTAATGAAGACAATGTAAGTTCCCATCTGCCAATGTTTCCTCCTAAAATAAAAGAATAACATGAAAGAAAAAAAAATAAAACTACACAAAAACCATGTCCTAGCATAATTTGAAGACCAAGGATGCCCAAACTTCAAAATAACTCAGTAAAAAGAGGAAAAACAAAACACCAAGTCCTTGTGTGGCTATCTCTTCTGGACCTGCCTTACCCAACCCTGCCACAAGGCTTTATAAAGTCAGATCAGTAAAAACTGAGGAAGAAAATTAGCCATGGGAGTTAAGGTTGATCTAAAACCAACACCAGAAAGACTACACCATCCCAAGAACAAACATACTAAAAAATGTCCAAATAGATCAGATTATGAACTACAGGGAGGAACAAATATGCATGATTAAAAACACATAGCTTCTGGGAAGAAAAACAACAAAGAAGGGAGAGGTGCCCTTTATCAGTTGATTTTTAAAGGACAAAACATGTATTCATTTGGGTTCAATCAGGACAGAGAAACTACATAGTAATTTGAACAAGGAAAGAATCATTACCTATAACATGAAATTGGAGTAACGTGGGATTAACTAGTAAGAAGTAGAGAGAACTGTAAAGAATACAGAAATAGCAAATATACTAAAGTGCAGCTCACAACTCCTAGGGCCGAGATTAAGCATCCAAACAAA